TATTTTAATAATGTTATATACATTTATTGTCGGTAATTATAATGCAGAACTAGTCTGAAGTGTCATATATATATAATCTGCTATAACCTCAATTTAAATAGATGTGAGTATCATTTAGCTTTAGTTGAACTAGCTACACAGCTACACTAAAGCATATATGTCACAATACACTTATATCATGGCCCACCTATAAGCAGAAAATATATACATATATTTAATATATTTACCGCACTGAGAGGTTACTGCCTACAGGCATGTTGATCGATTAAGGATTTCTTTAACCCATTATTGTCATTGTTGTGGGCCACACGAGCAGAAACAAAATTTCACTCATCTGTTTCTATCAGGTATTCGTTAGATTGCATATATTCAGTCTGTGATATTCCTTTCAAAAGTGTCATACGATACAACCATTTGCTTATTGCTTATTACAATCGTAACTCGATACGTATATGTTTTTTCTAACTCTATTAATCTTAAGTTAGGTACTTAATGAATTAATGTTAAACTGAATATGGAATGTTAAATATAACAACTCACATTAGTGTTGAGAGCTATTCAAGGCTAAGATTAACAACATCTCGTGATTTATAAGAGCAGGATGTTTCCACAAGATGTTCTACAAAATGTTTGCACAAATAAATGGTTAAGGTCTTGTTTTAAGACTTGGTATCATAATAATTAAGACTAAAATGAGTGGGTCAACTACACCGACTGCTACACCGACGTAAACTTAACTAATCTCGTGTGATTATTTATAATTTTATTTTAATTATCAATTTACAAATATATTACACTCCCTATGTAATATTGTACGTCACTTATTATAAGAACTCCTATTTAACTTAGAAAGTAATAAATCTTTATGCATAACACAGCTTTGAAAACAATTTGAAATATTTACGACTATATATCTCAGTGGGTGTTAGACGTCATGGATTACATTAGCAACAAAAATAAGTTATTGCATTTTTCACGACCACACACTTAACAATTTTTAAAAATATTTTCTTAATGTGTTTACATTATTATTATTATTTTATATTGACTAATTGAATATACAAACGCACAAAGTCTAGTTTCTAAATTTATTATATAAATAGGTAGACGTATTTATTTGAAAAATTATATATACATATGAATATATATATACTATAATTGATCAAAACCTTTCAAGAACTTAATGAAAAATAATAATACAGTCAAACTTTCATAACTCGAAGTACAATTTTGCAAAGAGAAGGTTTGACTTATGGAGACTTCGAGTTAAGGAATTTTTTATAATTGTATGTAATTTGCTCTCAAAACCGTGTTGTACTCTATTGAGTTCGAGTTATGGAAGTTTGACTGTATTATAAAAATATTTTTTATCAACTAAAAATTATTTTAAAATATTTCAGGCATTCAAAGCAGAACTGCCATCCAAGGCATTAAATCTTTAGTTAAAGGTTTGTCATTTTACAATATCGATTGTTTAACAACCGCTGAATGTGAAAATTAGTTGGTTGCAGTGCTTGATCGGTAGAGACCCTTCAATACATTCTTCTTAAAAAACCTCAGTAAATAAAATAGATTCTAACACACTATTAAAAAAGTACTTGACTAAAATTCTGTTCCTTCTGTTAGCCAAAGTCCGGCAACTTCTTTACGTGGAGTGCTACAAACTATGATCTAAAAGAATTACAATTAGCTTGGCAGTATAGATTTGATCACTATTAACAAATTCCTTCAACTTAGTCCTATTGTGTGAGTACTAGGTGGGCTGACAGGTTTATTATGTTGGAAGTGATTTCCACCTATTGTTAGCAGGTTGCAGAAATTGGAGATAAGTGCCTCTCTTTTGTAGTCTCTAGGAGAAACATATATAACATATACATATACCATTTATCTATATACCTTAAAAGAGAAAGGTGCTGGTATAAACGTGCTAAGGGTTGTACTACCACTTTTTCTTTGTAAGAGTAATATCCGCGGTCGATTTAGCCCTTCCACTCCTGCTCTAAATTCTCTTACTGATTTACTGATTTTATGGTAAATAATTAGTGCTTCAGTAGAGCCTGAGTGACAATGAAAATAATAACCTTACATCTATCCTTAATGCGATTTGCAATCAACCAACATATCTCCCTACCTATATATCAATAAATCACGAAAATCATCGCAAAAGGATTTACTACTATAAGACACCCCTTGGATGACATTTGAATTATATTCTGTTCTACACCGAATGACAATCTTTAAACAATATATTGGGATGAAAATTTATAAAAATCTCTTTTACAAGGTTACCTTATTAATGTTTAGTTTTGGAAGTATAAAATAGCTAACTCTATCGATTCTTTATATAATTCTTTCGTAGTTCACTTATCCCACGCAAGGGAATTTATAAAAACTTAAAAATATCTAATATTATTTTTAAATCATATTAATTATTATATTGTCGCTAAAAATGTAAAACAGTATGTGAAAAGTGCAAATTAGCACATTTTTAAGTGGAAAAAACACCGAAATTGTTTACATAATTTTATTAACAAAGAAGCAATTGATCGGAGAAGCAGACAATTACACTTTGCAATCTTTTGAGGTTCCTAACAACAATAACGGCGATTGTGAGCGCACCAAATTCCAATTTTTTACGTGTTTGGAAAAAATGCGCGAAGCAGAAAAGATATTACAAAATCTCGTGGATGAGGAAACTCGTTACGTGTAGAAGCGGAGCACCGAATTTTGTGCAAAGTAACAAAATGTGCTGAAGTCTTTTCTATGTTGTAAGAGAAAACTGCTGAAAAGATGCTGTGCTATGCAGCGATTCTAGCCACAAAATATTTGCACAAACGAAAAACGCTGAAAGCTCAAAAACTCAATTTCAATGGAATTTCAAAGAAATTCGTTGGCTTGTGAGGTTTGCATTTTTGTTTTTTTTTTTTTTTGTTGCTCGTATAGGTATTCCTGTTTGTTTTTATTCAGATACATTTGTTATTATTGTTGTTGTGTGTTTGTGGTCGTTTTTGTTTTGGTTGTTAGAAAACTTGTTTTCATTGCCAACATTTTTTTTACAACTGCGAACAGCACAGAACTCTAGAAGAAACTTCAAAAATGTACGAGTCAATTTAACGCTGCCGTTTCCAGCATCCGAAACGGATACATGAGCATATTAAGGCGGCAACAACAAAAAAATCTAAGGCAAATCACAAAAGTAATCATAAATATATTATTTTTATAGTTCTGACACACATGGTAGAAGGTGAATAACTGTTAGAGGCATGGAATCAAGCGCAAAGACAGAGAAGCAAATAAGGCTTAAAGCACCATGAACATGTATCTATGAAGTGGTTACCAAAATTTGATTTACTGATTACGACTTGAAAAATGTAAATTTAAATATATTAATATACTTAGGACATTAATCATTCATTAAATAGCTTAGCGGTTTTAGTTAAAGTGCAATACGTGTACTTACATAAACATTTACAATGAGTGGTTACATTTTACTAGTAACACATCGGCTGATAAGTCCGTAAAAGAACCAATAAAACAAGTTTTTGGCAAAATTCAACTAAATTCTATAATATAGTCTCCTTCAAGAATACAATTATTATATACAATTATTATACAATACAATTATTTCATACAATTATTTCAGCAAGAGAATTTATGGTTCTATATTATATATATAATTATTTTTATATATAACGAGCCAATTGTACCATATCAAACGTTTATTTGCACCCACACATTCTTGTTGTAAAGAGGGTGCAATATCAGTTCTTCTTCTACTAGGTGCCTTGTCCGCTTCGAACGTTGGCTAACATGTTTGAGATTTTTACTTTCTCTACAGTCTCTCGAAAAAGTGATTTTGTACTTTTATTGAACCATTGAAATAAATTCTTCAGCCATGATAATATCAGTGAACTCTTAAATAAATTATGCCAAAGTAGTCGCATAGAAGCTCCTACTTGAGATTCACATGTGTTTGTTACCATGCATATCTAATTATATGTGGGTTATTCACATTCAAGGACATAGGAATAGCAGCGCCACCCTAACCACGGTTGAAATGGACAATAGACCGGGATATGTTTTATAGGTTGGGTGTGTGACAGCCAACATACAAAGAATTACTTAGCACTCTCGTGGATAATAATATTTTCCAGTTTGGACTGGAAAACTTTTGTTTTTTTACCGTTTATACATAATGGTACTTTGCGAATTGGAAAGATATAGTGATATCCCCCTCTAACTAGGAGAGCAAAGAAAAATTGTTTTATTCTGTACTTTTTAAAATTGATCGTATCCTGTCCAGTTGTGATATCTTTAAACAATCACTTGTTCAGTTCTATTGAGATTGAGAAACTATTTATGTTACAATTTATCTTTATGTTTGAAAAACGGTAGTTATCAGTAGTAAAGTTATTTAACTATTCACTTTTAAATTTCAGACGGTAGTTAAAAAGAGTCTGATGTATTTAGACTAAAAAAACTTGTTGGCTTCTTTAAAGTAATTTATTCTCATTTTCAAAGTGTAGTAATTATCAGTATTGCTAGTCTCTTAATACCCTAGAGACCAGTAAGAGAAGTACATATCTCTACTTTTTTCACCTTAACAATAACAAGTATTTAGAAATCAACTCTTTACGTGCATTTGTATATGAAATTGAAATGACAATTTATATGTGTTGATTTATTATAATAACATAAATATCATAATAGCACCGTTTCTTAAAACCTAAACAAGTTTCGTTTCCTATAGGATGGGCTGTCATAATATCTATCTACTATAATAAAAAATATCATGTTCTGGTATATGATTTCACTATACTTTAATATAAACAATTTTTAAATTAGAATAATTTCTATTAAAATGACCTAGAAGTTGCAAATACTTAAAAACTAAAGTAGCTAGTCTTTCATATTATAAATTTAAAAAAAAAAATATTTTCATTAAAACTATTAATACTTGAAAAAAGATAAGAAGAAGAAGAGGAAGAAGTAATGCTTACCTAGTTATTTTTTCTACTTACAAATATTTCACTATTTGTAAACTAGAAAACTATGAAGAAATACGGCGAAATGGTGTTAATTAATTGTAAGACTGAGACAGCAGCGGCAACAGCTGAAAAATGGATTGCGTTGGCAAGTGAAGTTTTTGGCTTTTTAGGGGCTCAACCGTAACCGCGTTTCCAACCGCAAGAAAACTTCTCTTCGGTTTCGGTTACACGGATTCGTATGTGTGAAAAGCGGTTCGTCTGCCGCTTGAGCGCTTGGAATCTTTCACTTTTGTGCGGTGCTCTTTTCCGTGTTCTATTGAGCTCTATTTATGGTGTTCTTTTTAGCAAATGCATAAACACAGTACTTATTTATATTATTATTATTATTATTAATATTTTCTTTTTTAATTCTTTTTTAAATCTCTTTACTTTTTTTATTGTTATAAGAATTTTATCTTTAAGTATAATTATAGTTCAGTATAATTGCATTCATACATATATTTTAATTATTTCTATATTTTATTTATTTTTTTTTATTTATTCGTCTTTATACTAACTTGAAATTAATAAATTAAATAAGTGTGATTATTATTCGCTCTAGAAAATTAAATCTTTTTTTTTTTGAAATTTGAGATAAATAAAAATAGCTAAGAATATGTAAGTGTATATGAAATGTAAGTGAAAAAAATGTTGGGGTAGATATGAATTTCCAGTTATTAGAACTTTTAGAAACGTCAGTTGTTATTAAATATCGTTTCGCGGGGTTCGGTCTTATTAAAATATTCTAAATATTCTAAATATTTTGAATTTGGAGTAAAAATGTATCTAACAATCGGATTTTTATCTTGAAATTTGCATAATTTCCACACAAAATTCTATGCTCAATGCATAATGCATAATGATAGCGAAGTTAATTAAATAAAACAAAAAATATTCATATAAGCACAGTTAGACCAGAAATAAAAATACAATAAATAAAAAGTTGTGAGTTGTGAGTTAAAAATATGAAAAACTTTCTTTTGCAAATACAATAATCAACTTTTATATTGTATCTGGTATCTGGTATTTGGTATCTTGAGAAATTTCACATAAGCCGTTCGCTTGGTTGGAATCTCATACAAGTATTTAGTTGCCTGCCACCTTTTTTTTTGTTTTTTTTTTGTTTTGTGCTTTTTGTTTTTGTTAGTTTGTGTTTTTCTAGTTGCTCAATGTAATCTTCTTCTTCTACGTTTTTGTGTTATTATTTTAATTTTCAGTTTTTACAAATTTTTTATGACGTTTTTAATTGTTGCTGTTTACTTAGTTTTACTGTTTTGTTGTTTTGTTGTTGTTACTATAATTTACTTTGTTTGTTTTAAACCTAGTTTATATGCACGCAATTGGCGATGTGTCTGTGGCTGTGTGTGTTAGTTTTAAACTTCGGATTAAAGCGCATTCAGTCATAAATGCACAGTTCGAAAACAAAATAAAATCGAACGAATTGCCAATTAAAAAGAAATATAATGAGAATTGCTTAAATTGTAATTTATAGCATAAAAAACTAATTGATTGTTAAAATTATTCTTATGCAGCACTTTTTTGTTAACTCGTTGACTATGCTTTCCGATCCGACAACTTCCACCGACGACGTCAAATGTAAAACTATTTTCATGTTTATAACGTCTAAGCCACAACCTGCTGCTGGCCTAAGCCTGTAAGTCAACAAAATTGTGTACGCTTTTTTGTAAAAACGAAAAAGACAGATGAGATCATTTTCAGTTTGTATGTGTGAGTAAATTGAGAGCCGTTGCGTTGCCAATTGCTCTGAATTTATATCTGATTGGATTTTATGGGAACGAAACTTTATATTTTTATAGTAGCTTAAGATATGAATGGATGCATTCATTGATTTGTATATTATAAAATTGTGCTGTTCAGTAAAACAACACAAAAATTGTTAAAATTTTAAGATATATAAATTAAATGAAATTTTTCACTAAATTTAGTTACAAAAATAACCCAACCGCATTAACTAAAGTAATGAAGCTGACTCTGAGCTTCAAATTTGGCAGGACATGAGTTCGATTTCTGGTACTTGCAGTTTCAAAAAAACTATTTACGAATAATTAAATACAAGAATTATTTCCAAGACCATTCATGTGTAGAAATAGAAATTTACAACAATTATATTATATATATAAAGCTTACAGCTATGACATTTTCGCCGTCTATAATTAATAGTAAAATCTAATGCACTAATTATTTTTTATTAAAAATAAATTTAAATAAATTTAATATTTACTCACATTCATACTCTAGCATGCTTACATATATAATAATAAATACCCATACAACAATAGGTACATTCGGCTGCTCCAAAGTACAGCAGACACCAACAATCTCTTAAAATTTGTTTCTGATATATTGTATAATATTGTTGCGTACGTTCTCACGTAGATGTAAGACGATCGCTGGATCCCGGTAAGTAATTAAATAGTCGTAATTCATAATTATCATAATTATCATAATTATATATCCAAACTTATTTCCCAACAAACTGACGTTCTGAGAAACTATTTCAAAGATTAGTTAAGTTCAATATTCACAACAATATAATAATATTGTACAATATATGTAATTGTAAAGAAACAACTCTGTTATCTGTCAAAGTTAATTTATTAATGATTTAATGTGTCTCAAATGATGGATATTGATGAGGTTTTCAATTAGAAAATCTGAATTCAATCTACATTTACTCTCGATATGTGGAATTATATTGCCCAATAGAACTTTTTTAGAGTAATATAGCATTTTTTTAGTTGTGTTAGTAGATATTTTTATCTATCTAAACAAATGTCATATGTCTAAACAAATCACACTTTACTTGTCAAGTCATATAAAACAACTGTGGATTTCAGAGTAATCTTGCTACTCTGGCAAAATATATTGACTGTGATAAATTAATCTCGAGTGTTATACATTTGACTGGCGACTTGCTAATCCAAAATGAAAACTCCAATAAATGTGAATCTGTATTGTGCCGTAACTCATACGTGAGCCTTTCTTATTATTTTATTATCACAGCTAGATAAGCTAAAATATCAAAGATGCGTTATACAAATGTCATTGTATATTACTTAGTTGTACTTTGTCTAATTACAAAATTAACTCTATCGCATAAGAAGGAAAGCAGCCAAGGGCGATCATAAGTGACTGAAGAACTGAAACATTTGAATAAAAAAAGTTGATATAAATAACCATTTTTATTTTTTGTCATATATCACCACACACAAATTTATTAAAAGAAACAATATAACTTTAGGCGCAATTTCACAAACATTATTGCTAACTACTTTTCGGCTCTTTAAACTAACTAAACATAGACTCCTTTGAATACTACATAACAATTAAAAATCTTTCAAATATATTAGTAATATGATAAGTCAAAACTTTTTTAAGAAAAATTGTAAGTAAATATGAGTATATATTTCTTGGTTATTAAAACTACTTTCAGTAATTCTTTATTTTGGTATATTTATGAAATCGTTCACAATATTTGTAGCTAAAAGACACTCGAATACTACCATGGTATAGTGATTTAAATTATGGCGAGAAATTGCAATACAATTTCTTTGCAATACAATTTCTATTAAAATAGATTAAAAATGATGTATGTCTTTAACTACACATTACACATTATAAATGTCTAAATACTGTTGGATTTTTAGTTCTCGTAAGAAAAGTAAATCAAAAAGACAACCAACTTTAGGAACGCGGGAAGCATGTGGAAAACGTACTTTTCAACTATTGCAAAAATCTAACATATTTAGCTTAACTTATTAAAGCAGTTAATTTTTTAGAATATACTAGTATATTTTTATTGCAACAGTATTCTGGCCGGATCTCTGTATGTCATTTTCATGTACGAATGAAATTCTGGTTGAACTTTTATTAATACATATTCAAGATATTCAAGAAAGTCACTTTTCAGTAACTTGAGCTGTAAGCCTTATGATATCATCAATGTGTTTTTCTGCTCAACTTCTGCTCTACTTATAAATCACCTATATTGAGATGGTAGACTTCTTCAAATCTACTTTAATGTATTTTAACACCCCACTTAAACTCTCTATATGCCCAAGGAACTCTTCCTTTCAAGAACGTAAATTTATAATTCTAGTTTTAAGACTTAAATATGAGTTACAGCAAAATCAGATAGCTTCTGAAGTGTCATGTGAATAAATATATTAATATAAAATTTCATTTTCGCTATTTATTGTTTTATTTAAATAAAAGGCTGAAAATAAAGTTTTAAAAATCACAACGTATATTTAAAAATTACAATCTATCTTAACTTTAAGTTATATAATATAAATAAATACAAGCACTTGAATTACAGTCATAAAAATTTACAAAAATACCTGCAACTTATTGTTAACATTGCTTAATAATTGAATTATTTAGTTTATAAGTAAAAGCATTTTGTTTATTTTATTTATGTGAATAGAAATACTCTGCTTTTAATCACATTATACTCTAATTATATTATAATTGTATATAATCATTTAAAATTTTCTAACATTATATATTCAGTTTCTGTTTTAGTTTTTATAAAGCACTTATAAATTTGTACAATTAAAGTCCCTTTTATAATTAATTGCTTTCAATCTAATATCATATTATAATAAATTTATATATTAACTGCATAATTGTTCAACAATTTTCTTTAAATTATTATTTCGTGTCTAACTATTTCAATATTGTTTAGTGTATTTTATTTCTTCTAGTGAAATTGCGTTATCAATAAAATTAATACGGAAATCTTATAAATAAAATTTTAAATTCACAAAAGGCAACTAAGGTTTTACATATATAGCTGCTAAAATTGTATTTAAATTTATATACATTTATATTTTATAAGTGTTCATTTTTATTATTTCTGTTTTGTTTTTTCATAAATTAATTTAAAGGAAGACACTTGGGTGCTGGATTGTGCTTATAAATTTGTATATACACAAATATTTTTTATGTTTATATAATTAACAACCTAAAATTTTCTTAAAAAAATTTTTCACATAAAAGCTTAGCTTAGATTGCTTTTCTTTTCGAAAGTAGTTCCTCACGTCCACATCACAACACTAATTACATTCACTTAAGTTAATTGGAATTTCTGTTGTAAAAACTAAAATACTTTAAGGTACTTTAAGACAGCTTTAGTGACCATTTACAGTGCTGGACGTCGTCTGTGGCGTCACATCTTGATTTGTTTTCGGTAGCACATACGTTTTTAATGATTTATCCGGAAAGAGATCAGATACATATTTAGCCTGCAAGTAGAAAAATAATGTATTAAAAATATTAATTAAAAATATAAGAAGTATGTTAGATATTACAGAGTGCTAAAAAAGATAAGTAAATGAAACTTGTACGAGGAAATAAATTAGATTTTATGATAAGTATACCTAGCTTATTGATGTATAAGTTATGTATAATACTATACACATTATAATATAATTATATAAAAAAAATAATAGACTTGTATCATCCATCGTCCTTTGCAACTAGTAAACCTTCATCGAAAAAAATAAGTTGCACTAATCGTCGTTGAGAAGTGATTTCTAAACGTAAATCTTAACACTCTTGATTAGACAAGATTCCTTTTTCTGTGACACTCCGATTTACTAGCGGATTTAAGTAAAGTCACCTATTCTGAACATTATTACGACGGTTTTTGCCGACATAGCTTAGTTCTCGATAGTTCGTCTCTATGGTATATGTTGTCTAATCGAGTTGCTGAGTATAGCCAACTTAAATCAGTGCACTTTAAATCGAGGCACTTTAAAAATCGTGCACTGCCTTTAATCTAAGCATACTAGAATCACATACTGTAGTTCAATAATTATATTTTATTTTCAATACCGAAATTAATGAAAACCTAATTAATCTTCAATGAAAACCTATACATTGATAATTCAATAATATGCTGAATAAATATCTTCATGTTTGAACAATTTTAGATTGCTTGTCATTGTTATCTTAACTTTGTATTGGAAAATGCTTTTTCTGATCTTTATATAACAATGAGCTGAGAATGTTTTCAGTTTACTATTCACTACTAAACTAATTATATGATTCTTATGAACTGCATGCAGTGTATCAAATATTTTAAAAATTTTATCTGAAGTGTTAGATCCTAAAAATATGTTATATTTTACATATATTTAAGGGAAATTTCAGTAATAGTCAAACATAAGATAAGTGCGCTTAAAATAAGAAGCTAAAATTTATTTAGAAAAATTGGGAAATTTTTGCTGAAAAATAGGGTGTGAGTTATAAACAATAGACTAAGGTTGAGAGACTTCTAATGGAACAGAAAATAGCAGTACTTTAACATATCTTTTGTACTAAATGTAAATCTCTAACGGAACAGATGATCGAGTTTTCCTTCTTAGAAACGATATATACAAAAGATCTTTTCCCAGTATACCACTCTTTTAATCTAAAACAATACTATGCCGAGATTTTATTATAATTTTATTAGATATTATTTTTAAAATAAGCATTATATACGTTCTTTACCGATATGTAACATTATTGAACGAATTGTAATAAATAAATGAAAATAACACTTCTATAGATTCGGCTCAACAACAAAAAAATGTAGAATAACTTCAATGGAAATTGTTCTATAGTAATTTGCCTTCATATAGTTAAATAGTATAGAGTTCAATAAATATATTATGTTCCTATAAAAATGTTTGTATGCAATGGCTTTTGTTTGAAAATAATTTTTCTTTATCTAACAAGACTTTAAAGATAAGGATTTAGAACGACCGAGTTGATTATTTTATTGAATAAAATGTTTAAAAAAGATGTATTTAAAATAAAACCACTTTATTGGTAATAATTTGAACTAAATTGATATATAATATCAGATCTAGTAAGAATTTAGAACATAGACAACAAAGACAACAGTTTTACTGAGCAAAATATTTTTAAAAAATCTATTTATTATAAACATAATTCATTGTTAATAAAGTTAATTAGAGAGAATATTTGTTGGACAAATTAAAGTATATAATAATTTTTAATTTTATATTTTTTTTTATATCAATCAGAAGTTCTACAGCTTATTATCCCTATTAACTTCCCGAAATTCCTTAGTAAATTTTTACCAATAACCACAGTATTTGTTAATATAACTTATTTCATAATATGTATATGAATTATTTTTTTGATACCCTTAACAAAATTGTAAAACAAGCTTATTAAATTTATCATAATGTTTGCAACGCAGAAATATAGGAGATCATAGATATTAAATACATTGTAACAACACCCGATGAGACTAATGCACCTAAATCAAAAATATAATAACAATAACGTAATATGTATAATATAAATATAAAAAATGTTTTATTTTAAACAAGGTATATTATATTACAGTTGTTTGTACATATATGGTATATATACAGTAAATAACACTACTTTATCAGATTTCTATTGAAATTAATTAAATATTATAGATATACTTCATATGATTAGATTATGGTCAGCTTAAAAAAATTCACCTGATTAAAAATCAAATAATGTGTATTTACAATGTCTTTACTATTACACATATAAAACAATTTTTAAAGCAGTTCAATAATCTAAACAATCTGCTCAATTTAAGATTTAAATTGTTGATAGTAGTAGACTATTTCACGTTTACACTATAACAGTGAATAATAGTCCTTATTACGTTTACTATCGCAGTTAACTCAACAAATATGCAACAATATAGTATTTTTCATATAAAATCCATACAAAAATATGCACAAAATTCGATAACTAAATACTCCACCCCTTGACCTAACGTAATACGTTTACACTATCACAGTTAGCTCAATAAATGTGCAACATTATACTAATTTTTCATATAAAATTCATACAAAAATATACACAAAGCTCAACAACTAAAAACACCACCCCTTGACCTACCTTACTTCTCACTATATTAAGCCCCTATGTTACTTCTAGCTTATAATAGATATGTCTAGACTTCTATGGTAAGTACTAAGTCTATTTATTTCATCCTTAACTATTAAAATACCTATTTTCTCCGTTCATTCCTAAAAGGTGGTTTTAGTGGTTTAAAGTCTCATTCTGTAGTTGTCAATGATTTCCACCTACGGCAAAAAAAGTGTGAAGAACATATTATAATACATATAGTATATGAATAACCTAAATGTTTTCAAATCAAAAATCACTTATGACTTACGTTGAGGATAGGATAAAACAATTTGAACAAAAGTTTATTGTCTTCAATTATTTAATTAAATAAAAATAATCATTTTTATTACTTTTTATGCTATAAAAATAAACTTTATTGGGTTTCAAGTGCTTCTATAAAACGCAACCATCTCTATGTTATTCCATTAACATTTATTAAAAATGAAAAAGTATTTAAAAAAATTTATTACTTCTCTTCTGTTTTTTATAGTTTTAATAGTGAATATTTAATTTTAATTAATTTAATTATTGTTACGCATAATGAAGCGTGAAATTATTATTGCAAAAATAATGAACTTGAATTACAAAACGAAGAGAAATTTCTGTCTGTGATGCGATTAAAGTGTTGTGATAGCGATTGTTATATATTATAAGAAAATTGTGAAAAATTATTAGCGAAACTCTATGGAAATAATAAATTTTCTCAGATGTGCAAGATTGCAAGATGAATTTTTGCATAGACAGTCATGCGAACAATTTTCCTGTCAATTATTTTAAAATAAAATAAAAACTTTTCCGAAGAAAAAATTGTTAATTTTTCAAATGACATCAACGACTTCAACGGCGGCAATATCAATAAAAACAGTGTTGCATGTAAGTATTGATGTTTGCAATAGCAACATTAACATCAACATCAACAGGAACAGCAGCAATGCAACACAGCACCTGCGCATATATCATGTTGCATGTTGCACATGCACAAATTGACATGTCAATTGCATTGGAACGTTTGTCTTTGCTGCAATTATCGTTAAAAGTTGATTATATTTTGGCGAATTCAGTTGAGCACGCGAAATAAAGGCGCAACCAATTAAGTTTATATATTAATTAAATGATTGGAAACTGCTTGTCTTGGCATATAAAAGTATATTTATATTATTTATTATGCCATTGTAAGAAGGAAAAACTAACAAATTTGTTAAAAGCCTGCTACTATGCACAGGTATCAAGACAGTAAGTGAACATAAATATATATATTAATATGCTTTTTTATATTTATTTGGTTTGGTTTGTAAAAATTATTATTATATTTATATAACATATATATATTAATGCATTCATTTCTTAAATGAATCTTTATATCAAAAGAGTTAGCTGCTTAGTAAATTTTATAACAATTATTATTGTTATTTTAAAAGATGCGGGGTTAACTAAACAATCTTATATAAATTAATATACATTAACATAATTGATTCCAAGAACGGCCGGGTCTACGGCCTGGACCCATTCGTCAATATCGACGACCAAGCGCCGTTCAACACCTCCCAAAGGGACTACACAAGTAGGACCCCACAGTCCTACTCTCATTTTCAATACAATACAAATCTTAATAAAATACAAATCAATCAAATACAAATAAAAAGTGAGAATAAAATTCTCCTTATTAGCTAATCACTTTTTCAGTGCTTATATGATTATTAAAACTTATCACGCCACATCTGTGACTATTCATCAACCTTCCATGGAAATTGTATCGAGTAAAAAATATTTAAACACGTATAAATTTAGATGTATTTCAATGAATGATAACAAAGAAAAAACCCACAACCATAATTACTAAAGATACTTGTTAATATGAAATAAATGTGCTACAGATTTTTCAATATAAGTTAAACTTTATTATAAATTGCTATTAAAATTTTATTATTTTTTCTAACTATAATCGAAGACTAATTGTTCAATCTTTAAATGCAGTCATAAAAGCTGCTTACAAGTCCATAAAAAATATTTTTATACATTAACAATACACTTTCGTACTAGTTATTATTATTATTAAGATTATCAGTTTAGCTTTTTATGTATTTTATGCTCAATGGGCCAAACAGTTTTCCAATTGAACCAATTATCCGGTGTTAAGTAACTCTGGAAATGTGTGTGTAAACAGGAAGAAAATTTATCAAAATTATTTCATCTTAATTATGACTTTAAAGTGTTATAAAAAAGTGCAATTAACGAACTCAAACTCTCAAAAGTCTAATAAAAAAAACTATAAATTTTGAATTTATTATATAAAATCAAGCAAACCATTAGCAATGGTAACTGCTAAGTGCTCAATTATTTTGAAAAACTTATAAACTGATAATGGCTAATCATACATATGTTAGCTCTTTTTTATATAGGAAATACCATAAAATGATAGAAAAGCATATATGAAAGTGAAAATATAATAAAATGTTACATATAAAAAAAAAAAAAATAATAAACTTTTACCTATTTGAAAAAATTTAACTTACCACAATAATAGCACAAAGTGAACCAATTGTGGATCCAGCCAACACATCCGACCAGTGATGTTTGTAGTCGGAAACACGACTCAGAGCAGTATACCAAGCAATCATAATAAATATAAATTGCAAGAAATGTCGCAGCAGTTTCGAACCACGCCAAGTCATACGAGATTGCAAGTAAAGCTACACATTTTTAGGCAAATATAAGAAGGTGAAAAATTTGTATAAATAAATTAAATTGATTAAATAATATATATTATAATAAACTCACTGCTAAGTAAACCATAGTGAAAAATGTAAAGCTAGAATGTCCGCTAGGAAACGAAAGACGTATTTCCTTTAACATGCGAGCAGAGGAGCCTTCACCAATGCAGCGAAAGTCTTGTATATATTTTCCGGCATTAGAAGTATCGGCACAGGTGCTGCCATCTGACATCATAGGCTGACATACCTATATTATAAAAATAAAGTAGAAAAATAATAAATAAAAAATTATACAAGAAGTTCATATTGATTATGCTTAAGACTAATTTCATAACTTATTAACTAATTTAATTAACAAGAACTTCCTCATTAAGAAATGCTTAAAAATATATTAGAATAGTTTTATAATTATAAAATTATACTTTTTAGTAATAACAATTGTTATGTTTCAAATATTTTGTCTTGGGTATCAATGGAAAAGAAAAATAATATTAGTTATCAGTACAAGTAAGAGGGTTTTAGTTTATCCAATAAAATCATACAAACCTCTACAAATTTAAGTATATAGATTAAATACGAAATGAGATAGCAAAGATATATACTTGTAACAATATAAGTGGATATGATTTTTCACTGCCTTCCTTAGAGCTAAGTTTGCTTAAATCTCTAAATCTATCATGAATAACAGAATTTGTGTACATGCATTTTGAAAGACAGTAAGCAATTTAAGATAATGCATAATAAAACTCAAGCAAGTTATCAATTATCAAAGATTCCAGAGCTATAAATGACTTTTTTAAGTATAATTATTAGTTATAGTATAGCATTATTATATCTTAAATAAACTGGATTAAGCCTAAAAATAATATGTGTTCAAATCATTTAAAGAGCTTTTCGTCTACCTTATAAATTGTTTAGATTCAAACTGTTGATATTATTGTTACAGTTCCGTAAAGTTATACCAGTTTAGGATGGCCAACAACCAGAAATGGAGAGAAAAATAAAACGAATTCTATACCTTCAAATATGATATCGAAGAGATTACTGTGAAAGAGTAAAATACGTTGATAAAAGAGAAATTGGTTTATAGCAATAGTCGTCGATAAGTACATGATATAAAGACAACAATAAACGAATGCGAAAGGATTGTAAGGATTGATGTGTCATTTGGTTGTCAGTATGGGTCCAAAGTAGTATGGAATTGCTTATGCAGCATCTGATTATACTGTTTTATAAGAAGTATTACAGCTTTTGCATGAATAGTGTACGTGGGACATATGATGATAACTTATCAGAATTCACTGCGTTGAAATTTGACATAACTTACTTTATTCAAATGGATCGCATAAATGTGATGCGTTCCATATTAAAACAACGTTATCAAGTAGCTTTACAACACAACATGCGCTTTACCTACACCATACTATATATCATGATTGATTGTTTATTCCTCACTGTAGTTGTTATGTCGTCGAGTTTTTACACGGTTAACTATGTCCCTCGATACTATCTTCTTTATTGTCACTTACATTCCAGTTGTGCACTTGTATTCTTTGTATGCCGTCCATTACAAAGTCGGACCACCTTTGTCCTATTGCTAATCGGCACATAAAACGAATACAATATAATACAATATAAACAGCGAAAGGTTGTCCTATTACTATGTACCTACTCAGCGGTTCTCTTAACTTTTGTGCAAATGTAGTCATTAATCGCTTTCAATACTTTGCTACAAACTTTCAACCGATCGCATAACGTAGCGAAAGAAACTATCAGCATTATACATGAAACTATACATAGGATTTTGGATTTCAGGGTTGTAGGCATTTTTAATTGACCGTTTGAGCATCGCAAAGTTAAGTATATCCCTCAATTTTAAAAAGTAAAAAAGAGGTCGTGGATCTCAAAACTAAGACGCAGACTTTATTTTTTCTATTTTACTTAATTTAAATAGTTTATTTTTATAATTATTTTATAATTATCATATAATTATTCTTCAGAGCTTTGTCTTCAAACATAAGCAAATTCAAGTTTTTTTCTAAAAATACTGTCACTCTCTCAGGGCGTGTACGGATTTAGAATTTATTTCAATAAAAATTCAAAATATTGATTTATGATTAATAAAAATTATAAGTTATCTTTTATGAAAATTGTATATCATTTAAATATTTTTCATATTGTTTACATTGCAATATTGCAAATTTAAATGCAATTTTTTTTCTGTTTTGCACAATGACATGAATTCGCTCTTAAGACTTTAGCAGCGTGGACCAGTTTGCCGTCAGTTTCTGATTTCAAACCATCTTGCGGTAGATGCGATTTCACAATAAATTTCTTTTATTAAGAAGATTAGCAGGTGCGTTTATTATTCTGTCGAAGTTTCAGTTTTATAATTTTAAATTGCCGATTCTATTGAAACTTGAAACCTCATATCTTCTACAAAAAGTATTTGGTCTAAGGTTCTTATAAATAATCTTATACCGAGTGTACAGTAGAATTAAGCTGATAGAAATCGATATCATGGGAACGATTTTTTTACTGAGTCTAAGCAAAATAATAATGATAAGTATACTATGAATAATCACCAGACCAAAGTTAAATACATAATAGTTTTTAATATTTATGTTCTTTGGTAATTTTGTAAATATGTGAAAACTTTAAAAAATGTTGTGCTATTATAAATTTTAATAATTTTTCAACAACATATGTGCTTTTAAACGCACGACACATAATACGCAAAATATTTGATAAAATAATTGCCTCAAAAAGAGCACAATATTTTGGCCCCCCTATAGTACGGGTATTTGAACGCATAATTCAATAGGAAAAAATAAACTACGAAATACATCAATAAACAAGTGCTCCTCTCAACAATCAGCCACATTGTGATCAATTGAAAAAGCGACACAATTTCATACTTTCATGGGGGACTGATATGTCTAACTCTTAGGCATACTTACAAAATAATTTTATATAAAAAAATCTTACATGAAATTATGAGGGAAGTCAACAGCTGGTGACTACAAAAAAGTATCTTCAATGAATATTTCATATTGACAGAAATAAATATAAATAGGCACTCTATAGATAAGAAACTCCGTCAATCCCTTCTGATGTATTATAGGAAAATGGGAAAACAAGTGTTTGGGGCACATAAATTTTAAAAGTAATTGCAGCAATTAAAAAGACTACATGCCTAAAATATGCTGAAATACTCTGTACTTATTATATTTTCACTCTGAATTTATCAATGCATTCATTTTAGAGATTTCTTTAGGGAATACGAAACTTACAGTCTAGAAATATGTGGGATGATACCACATATTTAAAGTTGACACATGTTACAAATTAAAAATATTTAATCTTTCATTTTTCGTGCATCAATGCAATTTTATTTTAAACTAAATGTTGAAGGAGTAAATTTAGAAATAAAATATATTAATGTCTTTCAAATATTAGTAAAACTTACTAATCAGGTTCAAGGTTAAAGCAGTTCTATTTAGATGAGAGCAATCTTAATGCACTCGCCAATCTTTTTCTTCAGCCCTTCAAAATATTTCATAACCATAAAGCCAAGTCTACATATAAATTACATATGTTTTTAATTCACAATGCAAATATTCGATAATATTCGAAGTATGAAACATTTTATACTTTTGTTAAAGTTGTATATAAGATCACTCTATATTTTTCAATTCATTTTATGAAGACCCCTATAGTATATTAAGTTATCATGCCTTTACGAGTTTAATATAAGAAAGTGAAGAATTTTTATTTATTTTACTTGTGAATTTCAAAAAAACTCATGCCTTTTTTATATTTTAGTTACTTTAAATCTATAAGCACTACATTTTATATTAATAAATATTGATTGTTTTATGTAATTTATTATGATTGGTATCAACTACAATTGATTAAATTATCTTAAAATTTAAAAAGAAAAAAATAAAAGGCAATTAACGGGGTATTAGCTCTCGGGCCTCAGAACACTACGATCATGATTGATCTTTTGCGTTACTTTCCGACCCCCTAACTAAACAAAACATATCCCGACATATGGGTCTTTCGAATGAACTCCAATAAAAAGTTGTTAAATAAGATACATGATTAATATGATTAAAATATATATCAAGTGAACTTAAATATTATATCAACTTAATAATGTTAAATAGCAACTGATTTAAAAAATTAAAATCAACTCACCGCAAAGAAATGTGGTCTTAAACGTCCAATGGAATATTTCGCAATATCAGTAGTCATTTGGCAAACCGCTGCCCCGAAACCAAATATTCCAATTTTCTTATAGCATTCAACCATCCAATCTGGTATTTCATAATCCATAAATACATAGGGTCGAGATATGTTGTTGCCATTTGAAGTTTTGGCATTATGTTTGGATCTCACTACTTCCACAATAATTATCTAAAACAAATAAAATACACATTATTATAAGTTATAAAAGTTATAGCTTTTTTAACATAAAAGAAGTTTTTTATATTTTAAGTATAATGGTTAGATGTGATTCTCTTAATAAAGCTACATTGCTTTACTACTGCAGAAACAGGGTTTAGTTTGATAGGGATATAGAAGTCAGACATAACCATGTGTAATTTTATATTATTACTACTAATATTTGCACTACACGGAATCACATTCAGAATATAATCGAAAATAATTGTGAAAAAAGCCTTATCTCTTAAGATACTAAAAGGTTTGGAGAGGTCTTATCCTCTCCAACGAGGTCTTCATCTTGCAGAGGAGTAATAACTGCGTATAGATACAGAATTCAGACAAAATATAGCAGTTTGGTATAGTTTATATGAAATAGTTTAAATAAAACTTATTTCACCTAGTAAACTATTTATATCACTTAGAGCTTCAATGCATCAGTTTTACTGACTGCTGAAATTGAATTTGTTTGATTAGGTTTTTTCTCTCACTTTTACGAAACTTGATGGATTACTTGCGTTGTTAGAGAATGGATTACATACTCTAATTACATACTCTAATCTCATATGTTTAAAAGTATTGAAGCATCTTCTAGTTATATGCACCAAAAGTTTACTATAGAACTCAATGCACCTATGCACAATTTAGCACCTCATAAAAAATCTATTAAGGCCTCTTTCAACTTCCAAGCGTCTTTTTAACACAAATATACATACGTTCATAAAAATAGATTATATCATTTTGTTAAGGGCAACACTGTAGGTAGTTGGAGAACATATTTAAATATTTGTATTTTATATATGTGTTTACATATTGACATGAAGTTGTACGGAAACATGAAATTTATTTTGAAATACTTGATTTTTTTATCATAACAAATTAGATACCATTCTGTTTTTAAGTGCCCTTTTCGGTTTCTTAAGGGCATATGTATATATAACAGCTGTCATTCAAAAGTTCATAAAGTAACAATTTTATTGACAAGTAATTAGTTAACGTAAAATATTATTTCATTTTCAAATAATCAAATAACAATGCTAGAAAGATAATCAACTCCAGTTACACAAAATGTAAAATAAACATCATATTAACTCAGTTCGATGTTTGGATTATATTATTTTTGACATCCCATTTTTTACAAATTTTATGCCAAATATTATTATGAATACAACACCTTAAACCGAAGACCCTACGACTAGACATTGTTTTTATTTATAATCTACTTCAAGAATGTATATCTATATAGTTATTATGTAGATTATATGTATCTACGCGATGATTTGAGTAAAAAAATCGTAAGCGTATGGAGTTCTACTTTCAAAAATACTGTATATTGAATGCAGTATATACTCTATTAAACTGTATACTGATATTACTGTACACTGGATATTGTAGAAAATGTGACAAAAACGAAAAAATAAATTTATAAGTATAACAATAATATATATACGATTTCGTCAATAAAAAAGTTTCACTTCAGTACTTAAAATACATAAATAACTTTATCATTTTTTGAAACAAAATTAATTTATATTATCTTTGCCTTTTTTGGAATAGTGGTTTAAACCTTGGCATGAATATTTAATATCAGTGAATTTAAAATGTTATCTTTTTATAAATTTATTCTATTACAAATATATGAATGCTGTACTTTGTAATATATACCAGTAATAAATATAATAGATATAATATTATTTAAAAAAAATTAATATTATCGTAAGATACAGTATAGAAAAAGGTGAACTTGTTTGTTCTGCTGCTATCAATATCAATGTTATTGATAAAATAAGGTGAACAATTTAAAATATAAATATCTTTAATTTTATTGATAAATATAGTATATATATTTATAATAAATAAAATCATTTTTTTGTGAAAAATACGTAATAACATTTTAAACCTAAATCAAAGTAAACAAACAATCATAATTATTTATAAATTCTAAGCTATTTGGACTCTTTAATAAACATTCACATAAAATGTATATAAAATTTAAAAAATTATTAACAAAAAATTATTAATAAAAATTTATTAAATAATAAAATTAAATATTCATTTTTTAATTCAATTTATAATTTTTAATCAATAAAAAGATACCTAAATCACAAATTTTTAGTTGTGACTAAAATTTAATTTATAGTTATAAATTACCAAAACATTTTTATAAAACAAGACACTCACCGCTCCAATGGGTAACACTAAGCCTATAAAGTATAACATCCAATTTCGCACCGTCGACTCTTTAAAAGGATGTTTAAGTGATTCATCATCGCAGAAGAAGCCACGTTTATATGCACTTCCAAACAAGAAGAAACACAATATAGGAAAACCAACTGCAAAGAAATAAATATAAAACAAAATAATAATTAATAGTAATTAAAAAAACTTGAACACGTTTTTAATATTACATGTAATTAAATGTAATAGATTATACTTTAATTACTATTTGAAATAGTAATTAATATAAAAAATAATGTATCTGAATATCACAAATACTGATTAAGTCAATATAAATTTATTTACTTTTTTTATTAAATCAAAATATGGTTAAAATTTAATTGCTATATTAATACTATACTTTAATTATAATATTAAAGTAAATATAAAAAAACGCAACCGTCATATATTCAGTCACCAAAGAGCATTCAGTGTATTTAATGAGTTATAAATAGTAAAAAAACTTTTTTGAATATATACAATCTTGTACTCATATGTAATGAATTATCATTGTATATAATTCACAATTTTTAAACTTATTGTTACATGTTGACCTAAAAAGTTTATCATTGGAATTAAAAATAAAATTATAATTTACACATTTATTTCCTTAAATAAATTTATAAAAAAAAATGATGATTAAACTAATACTTTATTGACGTCATGTGTACGTATATTGTTTTATGTCTACTATAAAATTAAATAAACAAACTCTGTCTCTCTCTGTTAGCTCGGCCTCTAACATAATTACTAGATACTATTTTATTTATCTTTTATAACACACCTAAATTGGTATATTTAAAATTTGTAAGAACATAATAAAAGTATACTACTAAAAAATTTATAAACAAGTATGTATAAATCATTATATTCGACAAATATATAATTATACTTATAATTTTATGTTCAGTTTATATATTATAATTGGTAAATAAATTCTAATATTTGCACTATTATCGATGATCATCTACAGAGAATTAATACAACTAATAGTGTGAATATTTAAAATTATAAAAAACGCATTTAGTGGACTTCTTAAAACACTGAGATTAATTAGTGTCATCTTTAAATTTATATGTACTATTAGAATCAGGATTATATTTTTTTATGAACCCCGATATGTTTTTCTCCACTTTACAACTGTTTTATATACTCTTTTAAACCTTATGTGTGAAGAGTATAATAAATGTTTATATATACCTAAGTTTAAAAAAGTTAAGTTTACCTTTAAAAAATTTTACAATTTGCTGATGTTTTTAAAATACTTTAAATTTTCTATAGATTTTATAATATTCTCACTGGCCACGCAAAGTATTTTAAATTGCTATATTCGTTATAATCAATAATATTTCGGAAAATTGTTAAGTCAGATTATTTACGAAATATATAATAAATAATTACATTTAATCTGTTTAAAATTGCTGAAATTAATTAATTTCGATTAGTTTTAAACTTCTTTTTTTGGTAAATTTCTTAATTAAGCAAATTTTCGTGACAATTTTTGCTTAAACTTGTCATTTCGTATAATTTGAATATTTAATAAAAAAATTTAATGCAATTTAAATTATTCGGCATCTTTAGCGCAATGCAGTTTTTAAAAAATAGTAATAAACATGTTTATATATTTATTACATGATTATAAAAATAAAACCGTCGAAATATGTCAATTTAATTTATACAAAATGATTGATTGTAAATTTTCTTACACTAGCAATCTATCAAAATGTGACATGTGAGTACCAAATTAACTGTTTTAACAAGATAAACAAATATGATTAAAAAGAATCATGTATAGCAGATAAAGCATTATTTTAAGCAGACAATATGTAATTAAAACACCATTAAATGCTATAGAGAAATAAACTAAAAATTTGTTATAATTTCAACACCCAATTAAGGAGGATCAAAACGTATTTAAAATAACAACAATTTCACCTAATTGTAGGGAAAGTCAGCTCATTAGTTGCATCTGAACTTCGTATATACTTATATTATAAACTAAACCACAATATATAACATTAACGATCTGTTTTGAGATTAACAAACAAGTCGCATCAAACGAAGCCTAAATATAATTTTTAATACCATAAATGAGAACCTTGATCGCAGGCATTTTGTGCCACGAACAAGAAAGCAGAGACTCCCATTAAGCAGAAAATATTCCGTGCAGTATATTGTGTCTGCCATCTAATTGAATAGATAATGCATTAGTGTCCCAATAATATAAATCGATATGGATACCAAAATGATCACAATAAATGCATACTGTGTTCTGTGCTGAAACTGCAGGAACAAATTGAAGATGTTTGACATTATCTAATCGGTTTTTGGTAAAAATAAAAACAAAAAACAAACTATTAAGGCTGCTATAGCAATTAAGCTGGATATACAGATAAGTTTGAACTTTAACAAAATTCGTTATACTTTTTTAAAATTATTTTTAATCACATGAAATGTATAAACGAAAACTTCACATATACAAATAATGTCATGAGAGTCATCGTAAGTATATTTATGTCAATAATAACAAAAGAAGAAACATTTGATATAAAATATCCTTATACTTCATCATCAAAGAATGCATCCTGAACATACAGTTTGAAGGGGATTTTAAGCACATATAATTGAAAGACTGATGTGAAATTTTCATAGTCATTCATAATGATCCGTTCCATTTAACAGGTTCTCAGTTTTTAAGTAGCAAATATGCGGCGTAGAATCAATGAAAGTAAAACTATTGTGTTATAAGCTGCTTTTTGTTCTTAATCTTTTTCGAAAAAAAAAAATTTTTAAACGTTTAGAAATTTTAAAATGTGTAATATTAGAAAAACTGATATCAAAGACACATTTCTTATACATTTTTTTAAATTCTTCATTTACTTGCACTTAAGAAGCAATGAACTCATAAATGACAACAGCTGCAAAAGGCAGGTTTTCGGACTGTACATACATATAACACCATAAATGTACCTAGAAAATAAAAATTAAATGTCTTTTCAAAAAGATTAACTTAAATTTATAGCTCCAACATTGTTCGCCGAACATAATTCAATTCAAAATATTTTATGAGTTTTTGCGTTGAGAAAGTTATAAATTTTAATTACTCTTAAAGATTGTTACTGTAAATGCATATAAAAGTATACATGAATATATTATCGATAACTGCCGTAGAACGTGAACAATATATAGAAATAGATAAAAGATATAGACTTTTTCAGGTTAAAATAGGCAAAATAATTATGAAGTTGTCATTAAGTTGACTTCAAATTTTACTGAGGGCGCTTACAGTGCGATATTATATCACTTTTTAACTAATAGCACCTTTCAACTGTTTACTGTCAAATGATCACAAGAATTTTTAGCAAGGTTACATATCTGTAGACGATTACTTTGACAGATTGAGAAAAAATAATTTAGTGCAGTAATAAAGCATCAGCATATTAGCATAGTAAGCTCAACAACATAGTAAGCTTTCAGCAATTGTGCTATGAATTGCTTTCGCATCGAAAATACACGCTAGAATTAGGCTTCTACAACTAAGTTTTGTTTTTAAATGTGCGGAAATGGGTTATAGAAAAGAGATTTATCAGCAGAAAATAGCTTATCAATAACACACAGGATTTTTATAAGGTATAAAACATATTATATTACTCTAATGATCTCAACATATTTAGAATCATTGAATCAAATATGTCAAGCTGAAAGCACACTTCTTTAGGAAATAAAAATGTACGAATAAAAAAAAAGTGCTTTATTATAATTTCGTAACGTATTATAGGCAATATTTAGTATCAGTAGTCACATTACTATCTTCATTATGATACACTATGATTTTATAAAATAATTTATTTCACTACTGTTCGAAAAAATCTCTTTATAAAATAATTTATATAATATAAGAAAAACTATAAATTTATAATGTCAAAAATGACAAAACGAAACTAGAAAGGTTCGAACAGTAATGAAGAAACAACAATAAAAATTTGATTTGATCAATAAATTAATCAAATTTTTGTTATTGTTTTTTCATTACTGTTCGAACCCTTCGACTGTCAATTTATTTCTCAAATTATTATATTTTTTTTTTTAGAAAAAACACTGTTTCTAAAAATTACACCTCAACGATAAAATTTTTAAATTAAGTCTCAAATGTTTTTTTCAGTTTAATTATATAGTTCGATTTTCAACTTTAAAATTATTATTATTAATAGTTACCTCATGTGCGTTCTAAATATATTGCATGCATGGATTCGCTTAATTATTGAAGTACGTAGTACGTGCAGTACAGTACGCGAAGCAATAAAATTTTAACTTCCAAATGCTCTAATTAAGTGCAGTAAATGTGTTTAACGTATTTTTTAACTCTATATACTTGCATATAATAAAATTATTATTTTAGGGGGCAATTCTAACCACATGTAGATATTATATTAAAACAATCACCAAAAACTGAGGGTTGGTTCCATGAATGTTTTTAAAAGGAAATAGCTGATTAAACAAATGTTGCAGGTTAGCATAAGCAACTGACAAAATATTAAATTAAATATATACGCAGGGAAATTAAATATATTTAATATAGTCGTAAGCTTTAAAAAATGTGGTTGTAAATATTCAATATATCCGACATAAGCTCACAGCTAATAAGTGTTTAGTTCAAAATTTATGCTATTTCATACTTTAAACAACACAAAAGTATAAATTAAACAAAATTCTGGGTAAATATTTGTATTTGTTCTAAATAAGAGTAATGCTGCCGTACTTAATTTTTCCCCTTATCACACAATTTACGTTACTCCTATGTCACGTAATGCCTATGTCATTATTGCGCTAACTACAAATGAAATACTAGTATGATAACAGCCTCTTTATGTGTCAAGTTCATTTCAATATACCTCAAAAAAAATATGTATGTATAGTAAAAACTTCGGTAAATTTCTAAACCAGAATTATTATTAAATTTAATCCAATAAACGTTTAGACAACAATAAAAGTGCAGTAAAACTTTCAAGCTCTTTGTTATATCAACAAAAGAATTTTGTCAGATTTATAAAGGAGAATGCACACCGCTAAGCCAGTGAAATCACACGTAACGCGAACCGACAAAGTGCAGAGTGTA